CACTGGAGGATTTTAGTAGAGTTGCCTAACCCTAACCACAGCTATGGATGGAGCGAAAACACTTTAGTTTCACATGAAACCGAATAGGAAGCCGTTACCATAACCAGATGAATGAGTTTCCATTTACTGAATCATTCATACAAACCTTTTGTTGGTGTTTTACATGAAACGCTGTTCAAATTCAGATTGCATGGAACAAATATGTGAACATGAATCTGTGTGATGAGGCTCGGCAAGTAAGAGCACACTGTTTTCCAGGAGCACTGCCTCATGGGAATCAAAGGAACGGTCCGCAGGAGTACTGATGGTGACTTCATCCATGCTAACGTGGACATCGACTTGATTATCACCGAGGAGCCCGAGATGGGGAACGTAGAGAAGCCCGTGGAGATCTTTCACATCATTGAGCACTTCTGTTTGGGCCGAAGGAGGTTGCACCTGTTTGGACGAGACTCAACCATCCGACCAGGTGAGGCGGGCATCATCTGCTGTAGAAAATAACAAAGCAACATGGTTTGTCTTCTGATTTTGTTTTTCAATTAAAATCTTTGCTTTTCTCTCGTTTCTAGGCTGGTTGACCGTTGGTCCTACATTAACAAACACCAACTTCAACCCAGAAGCATATGCTTCACATTTCCCTCTACCTGACGACCATTTGTCTGGTTGTACAGAGGAAATAGAGAGACTGAGGCCCAAATCTCCAGTTAAGCTGAAGTCGGACCGTGGTGGTGGAGCCCCCAGAGGGGGCCGTGGTGGGCCGAATGCAGGACGAGGTGGAGACAGAGGCAGAGAAAGAAACAGACCAAATTTCCGAGGGGACAGAGGAGGGTTCAGAGGCAGGGGAGGGCCACATAGGGGGTTTCCACCTCGCTAGAACTTTTATTTAACCACGCGTGTCACGATTAGTGAGAAGCAATTAAAATCTGAATGTGATTTTTCAATTTTGGGGAAAAAATGTTTCTTTGTTTAAGTGTTACAGGAATAAACTGCTTTTTTATAAACACGGTCTAGTTTTTTTTCTACTAAAATCAAGTTTAGACATTCATTCCTCTAACATTTTGATAGCTGCTGTTTTAAAAGCATCAAAAAACAAAACAGAGAATTTTCATCACTAAATAGAAGCTACAACAGCTGCATGCCATTGCTGTTTTGTTAGAATGATCATTTTACAGTGGTGTACAGACACCTTTTGTGGTCAACAAATTTTCTTGTGTACATTTCCTGCATGCACTACAACTCATCAAATAGTCTAAAGCTGATTGGTTGTTGGCCTCTGTTCATGCACTAACCACATGCTGTTGAGCATGTACTGGGCGGGGCTTTTACGGGAAGGTTGCATACCTGGCTTAGATGAAACAATTAATAGAATTCAAAAGATGGAGTTATTTAATGTGTTGACAGTAAGATAATAAGTGTTTGTGCAGCAGCTGTTCCTGTTACCCAGTTCATCTTAAAATAACTATTAATATAGCACCTAAACAAAGTGCTGCACATCATTAAAGATAAAAAATAGTACCTCGGTATGAAAACTAAGCAAATGTAGTGCACATAATCAGTAAAATCAAAGATACAATAAGAACAAAGCTAAAACAGGAAATTAAGTAAAAAGGCCTAAAAAGATCACGGAGTGATCAATCAGTAAACACTGGTAAAACGGTGCATTTCAGTTTAGTTCAAAAAATTACAACAAGCTTGCTTGTCTGACATCCTGTGGCAGAACAATCCAGCCCACCCAGTCAGATCGCAGTGTCCTTGATGGGACATGATTTAACTACTGTTCCTGTAGATGGCCTAATAGATTTTGGGTCAAACCTTTTTTCCTTACAGTAATTACATGCTTTTATTTTGGTAAGAATGCTATATTTTTAAATAAAATGAGGACAAATAAGATAAACATTCACAGTACTTGTCTCTGTGGCTCTGTGATGGAACAGTAGCATGTTTGTGGTGTGCCCTGTCTCTCCCAGTGATCACCAGAAATAAGCACTGGCTTCTCATGACTAGCCTAGTGAACTAGACCAAATTCTTGCTTTGCAAAGAATGGTCTAGACACGCTCCATTGGAACCTCAGCAGCTCCTACCAGGACTCTGGCTGGCCAATCACAGCTCTCTAGAGGGGTTTCAAACACATAAAGAGCTGTGATTGGTCCATAATGGTGGGCCAATCATAGTGCTCTATCTGCTTAGTGAACAAATCACAGAGCTTTATCCGCTTTGTGGGCCAATCAGGGCACTCTATATGCCTGGTGGGTGGGATGATGCCACAGAGTGAAACAAGAGTATGTCACATTCATTGTCCAGTGGAATGCAGAGATCATTTGAAAGACAACGGTAGAACCCGCCCCACAACCGAGAGCCGTCAACGGAGCATGGCCAGACTAAATAATACATTTATTTAGTCTGGCTTGCCAGGCTATGTCATGACCACCTATAGCAATGATTCCCAACTAGGGGTATTCAATTTTCCAGCACGTTTTAGTTTTAACTCTTTCAACACACCTGATTTCAATCAGCAGGTAATTAACAGGCTTCTGCAGAGCCTGATGAGCTGCTCCACAGGTGATTCAGCCACTGAATCGAATGTGCTGGACTAGAGAAACCTCTAAAACGTGATACCGGCCCTCCAGGCCCGGGATTGAATACCCCTGCTCTAGTGGTACATGATATAAACAGCTACATGAAGGGAAGACCAGTGCAGGGCTATGCACCTGCATGATGCTCTTCTACTGAGAGAGGGAGTGAAACCTCATTCACACCGAATGCAGAATTGAAAATCATCGAGTCTAATCAGCATTTACACCGGCTGCGGTGCAGATCTGGATGTGGACCTCTGGAAAGTTTCCACATGGAGTCTGCTTTCTGAGGATTGTCATAAAGTTTAAGAATTCACATGAGCCAGACCGGAAGTGAGACATGGTTCAACGTAAGGGAGTTTTAATAGAAAAGGGGCGTGTGTCCTTGTCGATTTTCAAGAAACTCCTGAAGACCCTTCTCTTCAGAGAGTATCTTCTAAACTAGATCCCTTCCTGCACTCATCCCCCACTCCACTGCACACTCCATGTTCACTTCCCTCTATGATTCATTATGCTGCCTCACTGCCACCTAGGCTTGACTGAATAGCGTTTGCTGTTAGCCTAAAGGGCAACCTGCCGGCTTGATTATCACTTGTAAGTAGCTTTGGATAAAGGCGTCTGCTAAATACATAAACATAATAAAACCATTTTCATTTAATAATCAGTTGTATGTTTTGGGGAATTAACACATTTGCCTAAGAGGGCGGCGGGGTACACAAGTGAACAGAGGTTGGGAAACTGACCTATAGGTAGAAGCGAATGTCGTGGGAAATAAAATTAGGGTCGTATTGTTACATGTATGATCATAATCTGGTCCAGCGTAAAGTTGCAGCATCCCAGTTCTGACATCCTAATGGTACGTTTACTCAGAAACCTGAGCACAATTATCGTAAAGATTTTTTGGAAACAACCGGACCTTTCTTGTTTGCCTTAAAGATGTCTTGCCTCTAATCCAAGAAGCTTCTTCAGTTTTGAAATGGGTTGGCAGTTGGAGTCCTATAAGGTGTGGTTGGGAACAAACACACCCAGTGCGTTTACGTGTGCATTTAATCGATCTACGGCAATAAACTGGGAGCCTTTATCAAAGCTCGCATGTACATTAGAAAATCAAATTATTGACTTAAGTGCAATACACTCCACTACATCAGTTACTGCCAAAGCAGCTGCGGTATGCTGACATCTGTGCACAGTCCAGAAAGGATTGAATTGGTTTGGAGATACAACAGCTGAGAGGGCCATATCTTATCTCCTGGTTAATTTCCCTCTCCCAGTAGTTAACCTGAAGTTCCGGCAATGGAAACATGCCTAATGTTAATGAGGCCATCAAGGTCACGAGTCCCTGGCCCCTTTTAGGACAATCAGAACCAGCAACACAAACAGGTCCTCAATGATGCCTAGCTGTTCACTGTTTTGATCACATATCTCAAGGTGTGTGGAGACAAGTCAAGACTGCACTCTATGTTTCATTTGGAGGGCTTCTTTCACCCCTCGCTCAAATCCTCTGTCTTCCCTGTCCACTTCTGTCCAGTGGGAACTGTGCCCTTTTGATTACACCCCTTGAGTTAAAAACAGCTTTTTATCGATCAGAAGATTCACATCACTTCCTGAACTTTCCATCCATCCATTTTCTTCCACTTATCTGGAGTCGGGTCACGGGGGCAGCAGCCTAAGCCGGGAGGCTCGGACTTCCCTCTCCCCAGCCACTTGGGCCAGCTCTTCCGGGGTGATCCCACGGCGTTCTCTGGCCAGCTGAGAGACATAGCCCCTCCAATGTGTCCTGGGTCTTCCTTTAGGCCTTCTCCTAGTTGAACATCTTAGGTGTGTTCTTGCTGTGTCTTTCTAATTCCATTCTTTCGTTCTTTTTTAAACACAGAAACAGTTTTGTTTACCTGTTTGTAGCTACAGTTTCGCCGACGGCTGCCGGCTTCTTCAGGCTGACGCCTGACACGAGGCTGACTTCTCCTAGTTGGTTGTGCCTGGAAAACCTCACCAGGAAGGTGTCCAGGGGGCATTCTAATCAGATGCCCGAGCCACCTCAACTGGCTCCTCTCGATGTGGAGGAGCAGCGGGTCTACTCTGAGCCCCTCCTGGATGCATGAGCTTCTCACCCTATCTCTAAGGGAGAGCCCAGCTTTCATGCAGAGAAAACTCATTTCGGCCGCTTGTATCCGCAATCTTGTTCTTTCGGTCACTCCATGACCATAGGTGAGGGTAGAAACGTAGATCGACCAGTAAATCGAGAGCTTTGCCTTCTGACTCAGCTCTCTCTTCACCACGACAAACCGGTACAATGCCCACATCACTGCAGATGCAGCACCAATACGCCTGTAGATCTCACATTCCAGTTTTCCCTCACTCGTGACCAAGGCCCCGAGATACTTAAACTCCTCCACTTGGGGCAGGACCTCATCTCTGACTCTGAGAAGGCATTCTACCCTTTTCCGAATCAAGACCAAGGTTCCTGAACTTTCTTGAAAATAAATCCCTGACATGTGTCTATGAGCTTCCTCCTTCACCATTTGTGCAGTTTGGGTAAAGTAACATTTCCCATATGCACATTAATAGGTTTTATATTTGCCGACATGCCCTTTCAGTTTGAAGACCTACAAATTTAAACTTATAGCTAACCACTTTTCAGTTCCTTCGTGTGCAATAATACAAATCTTATCTAATTGTAATATGTTGAGCTTTAATGCGTCACCAAGCACTACGCCCCTTTTTTTAAACAAAAGAAACAAAAGCAAAAGAAAAAAAACTTTTATTCTTGATGCTGGTATTCCATTTAGGAGTCTGGTATTTGCATGCATAACAAGACGGTTACCCAAGAATGTGACACTAGGTAACTCCTAAATAATCACCGACAGTGTTTTAGAGTTGGGGTGTCTTTTCTGAGTTATTCACCTTTTTTTGCGTTTTGTTTTTCTAGAACTTCTGAATCTTGAAAGTGAAACAAATTTTCTTCAGTTTCATACATGGCTGCACTATGCAAATGCTGTGACAGCTCCTCATTCAGTCATATCAGATGATCATGAAATCAACTGATAGTCTTAATGGCCTTTAATCTTTTCCTTTTCAGTCTAATTTTATCAGTACTAATGATATCCTAATATCTTTATTACAAAGATTTTTCTTTATTTGTCCATGTATTTTTTTTTCTGTCTTCTCAAACTTCAGGCAGGTGAAAAAAGTTGAAAGGCCACCTTTCCCAGGCAGATTCTGCTGGAATTTCATTCTTGTTAAAAAACAAGTTTTTCTTTCTACACTAACTCGACCATGTCATTCTTGCTCAGAAAGGGGGGAATTGCATTGGAGAAAGAATTCAGTGAGGACAATGTTACCATATCACTTTATTTATATACCACATTTAAAGTACAGCATGAGAGCTGACCAAAGTGCTGTACAGGAAGGATCATTAAAAATTGCTGTTC